AGTAGGAAAGAGAAAATGGAGATATAGTACATAGGTGGAGGGATTTGCTCTGTGGGAGGATGGACAGCTCATCCATAGTAATATAAGGGGAGGTGAAGTATATTCACTCTGATTCTGGCAGGTGTGTAGATTTCACGTTGAGATTTTTGAAAATTCTCTTTTAATTGCTTCATTTTTCTCATCATAGTAGAAAGCAAGATTGACTACTGAGAATGGGGGTGAGGAACGAGTGTGGGAAATTAGAGGAGAAACTTTGAAATACTTGTTCTGGAGAGTGAAAGTAAAAATGGATTAGGGAAGAAAAAGATGGTTTCTGGGGTGAACCCTTGTGAAGTTTAGTGAGCATGAGTATAATGTGAAAAGAGTTGACATGCTTGTGTATTTTTCTCCAGCTATCTTCAGCTGCATGAGTTCAGGCATGGAGTAAGTGAAGGGTTGAATTTAGCCAGGGTTTTTATTTTGCTGGATTATATTGGGTTTCCAGACAACATACTGTGAGATCGAGATTTGTATGTAGGAGTTTACCGAGGGGTGTTTTCAGAAGCAACATCTATAAGGGATGGAGGGCAGGAGGAATGAGCAGAGGAGGGGTTAAACAGAAGTGCAGTTGTAACAGGTCTCAGGCAATCCTACAGGGAGCTGTGGAGCTGGAGCAACCCTCTGATTTGTCCAAAATTGGAGCAAGGAGGCTTGGCATTTTTGCCCCTTTGTAGACATTTAGACATGGGATTCCTGTGGGCACGGAGGCTCCCAAGAAGTGAGGGTAATTCCTCAAGAGGGACTTGGCTGTGAGATGACAGAAATTAACACTACTAGTAGGTGCAGTAGTGAGTTTCTTAGTCCTGAAGGGAAGGTAATAGATGGCATGCCACAGAATCTGCTACAGTTCGCCATTTGCACTGCTTGCTTGTATACTAAGCTTACCCCTTCTAAGAAGACCTCCTCCCGCATTCTGATAAGTTTCCTTACCTAGAAAGTCTTACGTGAGGAAGGTTAGTGGGACTAATCCTGCCTCCATGACTGCTCTAGAGAGTGCCACTGATACTCCTCATTTGTGCTACCTCAATGTATTAACCATTCTAGATTCTCCTCTTTCTTGGCTAGCACCTCTGCTTGCCTTGGTAGCTGACCTGGTGGTATGACCCAGATTCTTATATAAGAGGTGTCTGAGCCCCTGGTCTCCTGGCTACCCAACCATTTTCTAGACTTGACTTCTACATTTGTCCATTTACTCAAAATTAGGCATAGTCCACAATGGACCATAAGGCAAAACTGAAGATGGACACCTTGCATTAAGAATGGGAAACCAAAAAGATAGAAGGATTTGGGTCCCTGGTAGTCATGTTTTGAACCTTCAATCTCTGATTTTTTTTTTTTTTTAAATGAGAGAAAAATGTACCCTTAGGTGTTTGACTATTATCAGGTCCCTATTAACAGCTAAATAAAATTCCCAACTGAAATAATAGTGTAGGATGAAAATCTCCCTAGCCCTCAAACTCCATATACCATACATCCAGTAAATATTTGGGCTCACCATGTGCCAGACATTGCTTTCCCTAGATTCTCCATTTCTGCTTAAGACACCATCATTCCCCATTCTCACCATCTGCTTAAGAACCCATGCAAGGTTTAGTGAGCAAGAGTGTAATGTGAGAACAGTTGACGTGCTTGTAAATTTTTGTCCAGCTATCTTCAGCTGCATGGGTTCAGGCATGAAGTAAGTGAAGAGATGTCTGAGCCCCTGATCTACTGAGAGCTACTGAGACCAAAAATCTTAGCATTCCCCTTAAATGCCTTCTCATCCTCATCTGCACATCCAGTTGGTTGTCAAAAGCTGTCTTTCTGCCTCAGTAATACCTCTCGGCCTGGCACGGTAACTCACGCCTGTAATCCCAGCACTTTGGAAGGCCAAGGCCAGTGTGTCACCTGAGGTTAGAAGTTTAAGACCAGGCCGGCCAACATGGTGGGACCCTGTCTTTACAAAAAAAGACAAAAATTAGCTGAGCGTGGTAGTGGGCACCTGTAATCCCAGCTACTCAGAGGCTGAAGCAGGAGAATTGCTTGAACCTGGGAGGCAGAGGTTGCAGTGAGCCAAGATGGCACCATTGCACTCCAGCCTGGGTGACAGAATGAGACTCCATCTCAAAAAATAAATAAATAAATTGAAAAATAATAGTAATACCTCTCATTGCTGTCTTCTCCCCTCCATCACTGTTTGCATTTTCCTAGATTAGGTGTTCTCCCCACCTCTGCCAATCTTGGCTCTTCTAAAAGCTTTGTCTTTTCATGCTCATCCCCAGTGTTCCTACAAACTGCTACAAAAAATAGTCATAGTCAAAATAGTAATAATAATTCTTCTCAGAAGCCCTCAGTAGCTTCCCATTATACACCATATGAAATCCAAATGCATTAGTGTTGCATTCAAGGCTTTAATCCAGCCACGCCACATATTTTTTTCATTTTAACTTATATTGGATTGGTTACTAATGATTTTCCGAAATATTTATTCCATTTTCCTGATGCTCTGTCCCTCAGCCCCCAACACACATGGCTTGTTTCTTTCTCATCATTTCCCTTTTAGTTCTTTCTTAGACTTATCACAATTTGTAAATGTACACACTATTTACTTATTTACATCTTGAATTTTTTTTTTTTTTTTAAAACAGGGTTTTGCTCTTGCTGCCCAGGCTGGAGTGCAATGGCATAATCTCAGCTCACTGCAACCTCTGTCTCACGGGTTCAAGTGATTCTTCTGTCTCAGCCTCCCGAGTAGCTGGGATTACAGGCAGGCACCACCTAGTTTTGTATTTTTGGTAGAGACGGTGTTTCTCTATGTTGGTCAGGCTGGTCGCAAACTCCCGACCTCAGGTGATCCACCTGCCTCGGCCTCCCAAAGTGCTGGGATTACAGGCGTGAGCCACCGCACCCGGCCTACATCTTGAATTTTTAAAATGTTTTCCATTAAACATCTAATTGCCAGAATGTAAACTCCCTGAGTGCAGGAACGTTGTCTTAGTCATGTCACAATTTCCAGCGCCCAAATGAGCGTCAGTGTAGGGGCTCAATGAATATTTGCTAATTGAATTAATGAATGTGATGGCACTGTAAAGACTCTCTCAGCTTTGCAGAGTGGTTTTAACATTCAAGCTGGGAACAGCATGGTTCTACTCAAGCTCCTGTGTTTCCTGCACAGGCTTCTGTGTCTCCCCTTAGCTGCAGGGGAGAGAGTCATCCTCACGGAAGGAGACAAAAGAAACTGCACCCGGGTAGCAGGGAGGCAAGCTGTCTACAGGGAAGGGTCCCTGTCCTCTGAGCCATGAGACCTGCCTGAGAAACAGCGCACTCCAATGGCAGGGAGGTAAGCTGTCTACATGGAAGGGTCCCTGTTCTCTGTGTTGGGGGACCTTGTCTCTAGGCAATCTCTTTGAGTCAAATGAATAAATGTCCTTCCTATTTTACACTTAACTTATGTGCGGTCATGAGGGTTACTTAGCCTTTCAAAGCCTGATTTCTCTTGGGCTTCGTCTAACTGCTGAAAACTTAGTTTGCTCTTGTAATATAAGTAAACACACTTGGGGCAGGGGGCTACATTTTATTCTTCCCTTAGGCAAAGCATAAAAGCAAACAAAACAACCACCATGCCTAAAGTCTCAAAAAAACTCATAGTTACCAGGAGGAAAATACGTCTGCAGAGATTTTATTTATTGAATAGTGGGCAAAGATGTATTTTATGCTACAAAGACCTTCCATAGGGAAACCATATCATGGCAGCTCAGCAGTGGGCCTGCGTAAAGTGTTACAGGCATGGAGAGGCAACGCATTTACATATCAGGCTCATGGATGCATCCTTTATTAATCCAAAGAATCAGTGCTAGCCAGGCAGGCTTTGTATTAGAAGCTGGGCACACCATATTTCTTGGAGACTTAGAAAATTTCTATTGCCTTTTGATGTTTTGTGACATCATTTTTTTCAAACCACAAACTGGGGTGTGTGTTTGTGTGTGCACGTGTGTGTGTGTGTGTCTAGGGAAATAAGCATTACAGTTCAAATGAGTATTTAACAATATTTATAATTTGTAATTTGATACATATAAATGGCACCCTAGAAATATCAAATGGACAACAAAAAAGATACTTTATTATTAATTTTAAAATATAAAATGCCCTTCCTTTACTATGCTGCCTATATCAGGCCCTCACCTGCTAAACCTGCTAATTCTCCCTTTCCCCCCTCCCCCCCGATTTTTTGGCAGACCAAGAATCTTGCCTTCTCAGACTGTCAGAAAAGTAATCTATTTTTAAATTTCCAGAATTTCAGGTCTCCTGTCATTAAACATGACAGAGAGATTTAGGGAAAGATAAAGCATTGTTTGAAAAAGAAAGTCAGTTTTTAGTGTGACCTAAATGTATACGAGTCCAATGTTTAGACAGCATAGGAGGTTAAAGCTGGATTTTGAACATATTTTCAGAGTGTGCTTTGGCATGCAGCGTTTTTGAGAGAGGTGTTATGTAAGTTATCAAAAAGCATACATTTGGGGTAGGACTTTTATTTTATCCAGAAGCTAAAAATCATCGAATGTTGTGTTTTAATATGCAGATAACCCTTATTCTGATTTCGGTTTGGAAGCTTGATCAGGAAAGGTCTTTACTGTGGTGTTTAGGACGTCATGTTCTTTAGAAAGAAAGCTCTCTGTTTTTCTTTTCTCCAGAGGAACTGCAGTTTAGGACAGGCATAAAGCTGGGAACATAACCAAGGGCAGAAAAAAAATTCACCCCTATGTTCTATTTGTCAAACTGACCTGCAGGTCACAACCTGAAAGTTTATGGATCGGTGAGGCCTTGTCTCCGCATAAGCATGTTTTCTGGACTTTGGCTGAAGCTAAATTCCTGACTTCTGAAAGAGGGGTGGGTGTGGACTTCCAGCAGGAATAGCCAGTGGGAAGGAAGTAATATTCATTAAGAGTGTCTCATGCAAGCAGTGCGGGGCTAAGCATGCTCAGTGTAAATTCTCCTGGAGCCTGTCAAGCTATGTTTGAACTCGTTCCAGAATAGTGGATTTACTTTTTTTTCCCCACCAGGAAGAATACTCGAGTAGACTGTATTTTGCCTTGCTTTTCTTTTTTCCCTTTCTTTCTTTCTCTCTCTCTCTCTCTTTCTTTCTTTCTTTCTTTCTTTCCTTTCTTTTTCTTTCTTTTCTTCCTTTCCTTTTCTCTCTTTCCTTCTTTCTTTTTCTTCTTTCTTCTTTCTTCCCTTCCTTCCTTCTTTCTTTACATTTTTTTTCCTCCAGAAGAATGGAAACAATATTCATTTCTCATCAGTTCAGTAATACAATGCCCTTCAGTGTCCATATGAGCATTTCAGTGGAGAAGAAAAGAAACTTTGCTACCTGGGAACTGAAGACTACTTAGGTCAGTAAATGCTAATAAAGTTCTTAAAGACTTTCGGAGCTAGGAGTTAACTTTTCTTGACTGTTAAGGTAATCTACAGCTAATGTAATTGCCTTTTCAACTGGTGGGTGTACACTGATTTTTTTTTTTCCACACAAAAACTATGTTTTTTATGTGTTGGAGTGATTTCCCAAACACAGGGAAAATATGTCTTTTGGTTAATTTGCATTTGAAAGAACCTCTTTTTGTATGAAAGATTCTTTCTCTCTACCACAAATTATGTGTTTTTTAAACAAATATTGTGGTGAGCTGATGTAGCCGTAATGGTCTGAACGTGGATGTGTTCTGTGTTATATTAATTCTTGGCTTGGGTAGGTTTGGTGAAAGTTATTGCTTTTGTTGCTGCCAGAGATGAAAGAGAGTTTGTTTTGTTGTGGATGTTGTTTTGGAACTTTTGGTGAGCTCTGAGGCTGCCTTGGGAGCCCCTTACAGAGAGGAGAGCCATCTCTTTCCATGTTTAATGTGCATTTTTCAAAATATTCAACTTTAAGACAGGAGTACAGCTTTTTAAGAATCTGTGTAGGAATAGAGTTTTCTTAAAAATGTAGTCTTGGAGGGAAATGGTTTATAGAAAGGTTTGTAATGAAGAATTTAAATCAAGACCGCCATGGTGAATATAAGCAAAAGAATGCAAAAAAATACTGCATGCTATGTACGCACTGATTCAGTTTAGGTTAATAATTTTACTTTTTAATTTAAAAAAAGTATACCAGACCTTAACGGGTTGTCTTATAATATCAACTGATAACACAGAGGACTCATTAGAGAGATGTTAGGATCTCAGAAAATATCAAGTAAGCAAAGGCGGCCCCTTTAAAACCATCTGAGGACTGAGGTTATGAAACCACATGGTTTCATGTAGGAGCAGTGCATCCTAGGCTAAAGCAGTTTAATTTTATTCAAGAATTTTAAGAGTAAAAGGGGATTTATTCCTTTTCAAAAAAGAACAGCCAGGCGAGGATTATTGATCAGTCAGGGATTAAATATTTGCTGGAATACAAAGCATCACATATTATCAATGTGTAAATCAGACTCGCCAGCTATTCAGGGGATGTAAATGAAACGACCATAGTTTCAGCTGGAATCAAATGCAGCAGCACCCCTGCCCTGCTTTCTTCATCTTTATGTCCCAGAAAGGGATGATAGAGGTGGGGCAGGGTGTGAAATGAGACTTAGCCGATGAGCTGACCTTGCTCTTTTAACTTCTGTCCATCTGTTCTTACCGGGCAGCTGAAGCAGTGAGCAGAGTGGGGTGGGACCTCAGGGGGGACCAGGAAGCAGAGGCCAGACCCAGCCAAGGCTGTGATCTGTTCCCCACCCTGAGAGTTAGATATCAGGAGGAGCTAAGTGGATGCATCTAAATCCACTTCCTTCTGCTCCCAGAGCTTTGATTTAGTACCAAATGCTGCTCTTCTGCACCTGCCTCTGTTTTTCATAAGTAAAAGCTTCTCCCCATGTGTAGACGGTGGTTTATTCGATACAGATCAATCCCTAAGGAGATAGCTGAAGTAATTTAGTCTTGTTTTGTTTTTTCTTTCTTCTCTGACATGTGGCATTGATGAGGTTTAATTGAAACAACAAACCTTTTCTGGGATGCGAGAGCACAGTTTTCCACGGGAGTGTGTGTGTGAATGTGTGTGTGTGTGCGTGTGTGCATGCGCAAGTCACTTGCAGTCTGGGCTCTGGGACGCTGCCTCTTGGAAGGCTTTGCAAGGCTGAGGGCATTTGTCTGGAGCCAGGGATCTTTTCATCACCTTGTCTCTGCGTTGGCAAAGAGGAGGTGCACATTCTGAGGCATGCTGTAATTCTTTACCCTGAGTCCTCGTTCCTAATACTGCACTCTCCCCACAACACCCCAACTCTTTCCCCTTCATGACCTGTGTCTTGAAGCATAGCACCAAAACCTTTTGAGGCACAAAAGAAAACCAAAGGGCATGCAAAGAAGCAGAGAATGAACAAAGACAGGCCTCTTCATGTTCACATCTGGATAACATTTAGATTGAGACAAGGGAAAATGAGTGGGAGAAAAAAATCTGACACCACATTAAAAAAATGCATATAATTGACTTTCTAGAGTTTTTCTCGTCTCAAGCTTTCTGAATGTTTTTGTCTCCTGCCCACACTCTACCCATAGTACTCCGGAGAAGGCAGGTATCACATCCATGTTTTGTAGTGAAGTGCGGTGATTTGCCCAAAGCAGTGCCTAGGCAGGAGCAAGCATACAGATACCTGGAGCTCCAGTCCAAGCCTCTACTTACACAAGAAAAGAAATAATCTGGGTTCCATTTTTGTATCTTGAACTCAGTTTCCCCATTCATTTGAAGGTTTTGGACAAAGATGTTCTGTGCGGTAAGTTCTCAAACTGAATCCATTACTGTAATAATTTGAGAAGTATTTGAAGCTTTTCAGGAGACTTTGACATATTTCCTTTGATCTTATCTTCAACATTACCTATGAAAATAGATTGGGCCAGTGTTGCCATTTTCTTTTGACAAACGATGAAACTGAAAGATTGAATGACTTGCTGCCTAAGGTCAGGATAGAGGCTACATGGGAATTCGGATTGCCCAACTCGGGATTTGAAATTCTAGACTATCCTGAATCCCTGGGTTACTGAGGTAGAGAGGATATAAAAGAGGAGTTCTGTGATTCATGAAGGTGGAAAGTGTGGCAGCCCCAGGGGCTTTGGATATTGTCCCACTATGAAGGAGAAAACTCTGGCTGGAGAAGGTATGTTACTGCACCCACTGTCACACTAAGGAGTTGGACTTGAATTTAAATCCTATCCGTAGAATCCCAAAGTGTGTGTTCCATGGTATTTTGCTAAATTTTTCTGTGTCTCTTTTTCATCATGTGTAGAATGGGGATACCAAGGGGTTGCTATGAGGATCATATGAGACGATGCATGTAAATTACTTAGCACAGCGCCTCACACAGCAGACTAAACTCTAAAATGTTTTGATTGGCATGTGCTCTTATTTGTTGCTTGTGTTGTATCACCCAAAGTAAGCATGAACTATTCTTACTGTGAATCCCAGTCAGCTCTTAGCTCAACCCACAGATCCTCAGGGCACTTGTGTTGGTAAATGAACACCACAAGATGAGTAGTGCTTAAGGCATATTTATTGAAAATACAAAAATGTGCTAAATGGCACAGAGAGTTAACTGAGGCAGAACGCTTATTCTTCTTGCTCTTAGTCCGCGGAGAGACCAGAGGGAGGCTATCCAGGCAGATGTGTCCAAGATAAGCGCACATTTGTTGAGTCAAATCTAGTTATCTTCGGTGACTTTCCAATGCGGCTAAGCAGGCTTCTCGGAAGTGAGGAATCTCTCTGAAGGGAAAGAAGTCAATTACAGGCTCGTCGGTTCAGTGGGAGTCAAAAAACAAGTAAAGGCACATGTGCAGACAGGCTTTAGAACTGTCAAGATTTCAGGTTTTCCTGGGGGCCTTCTGACCAGTGCTGACCGGGCTCTTGAGGTGCACTAAGTGTCTGGGCCCCGATGTGCCTGGCATTACGTTAGAGAAATCCCTTTACACATAGCATTACGTTAGAGAAATCCCTTTAGAGAGATAAATCTCCAGGACCTGCTTATGACCAAATCAGTGATCCTTAACGGACTGCTCTCTGTAGAGAACCGGGAACGGTAAGTGCACAGTCACAGGGCTGCAAGACCAGACAGAAGGAGGGGCCACTCCCTCAGAGCACGTGCAGTCTAAATGAATAAATGGTACACAGAAGTGCATGGAGCACTCACATGCAGACCAGTAAAACAAGTCTGTTGATGCAGAAGTGTGAGGCAGACTTCAGGGACAGCAGTTGATGGTTAAATATTCTAAGTGTCTATTCTTAATGTTTTTTTTTTTTTGAAAAGATGTCTTGCTCTGTCACCCAGGCTGGAATGCAGTAGTGTGATCTTGGCTCACTGCGACCTCTGCCTCCTGGGTTTGAGCGAGTCTCTTGCCTCAGCCTTCCAAGTAGCTGGGACCACAGGCATGCGCCACCATACCTGGCTAATTTTTGTAATTTTGGTAGAGGCAGGGTTTCGCCGTGTTGGCCAGGCTGGTCTCAAACTCCTGACCTCAGGTGATCTGTTTGCGTCAGCCTCCAAAAGTGCTGGGATTACACGTGTGAGTCAGCTCGCTTGGCCTAAAATTCTTAAATTCTTTACCACTCAGTTCAGAGTTCCCTTTCAGATGCCTCTTCATGGCCTTCACTCACTTGTCCCTGCTGGGAATGAAAAGCTACTCGGGGGATACGGCAGGGAGATGGCAATGGGTTTTGGTTTATTGGTCTATTACACACCGGATGCTAGGTTTCATGCTTTATCAGTACTGTATTTAAAGTTCACAATATCCCTGGGAAGTTTAAAGAGGAGGAAACCTATCCCCATAGGGGAAGAATATATGGCCCCCAGGCAAAGAGGTGAATCACATGATTCACCAGCTGAGCATAGGATGTCATGTGTCACACAAGGCCTTCAAGAAACATGCTAGGTGGAAAGGACTGCTGCTGTCCTATAGACTACGTTCCTTTCATGGGTGATGCCTATGTCTTGCCTCATTTTGGGTCTATTAACATGTGTTGTCCAGAGTTGAGCAAGTCACGTCCCATGAAGTTAGTGCTTGGTGAAGTCTATGTACTGCCTGCCTTTAGGGAACCGTTCCTCTTCAACAGCAAGCTCAAACCACATTTCTTTTTTGTTTGTTTTTTCACAAATAGGTCCTTAAAAGTTTTGCAGTTTCAGAAGTAAAGAGCTTAGTAATCATTAGGTAGTATTGTATGATGAAAAAAACATGGGATTTGCAGTGATATGACTGGGTTTTGGGTCCTGACCCTGGAAAATTTGTTAACTTTGGGTAAATGATTTCACTTCACTGTGCCTCAGTTTCCACATCTGAAATTGTCAATGGGAATTTTCTCAGGTGAGATGCTCAGATCTGCTATTCAACATTGTACCTA